CATTAATTATTGATTAATAACTATAATAATCATTCTAAAAATAGTATATCCGCTAGCTCTGGTAGGCAGACAGAAAAGCTCGTTAAAGCGGGGGCGTTTCACACTCCTACTCCTTCCTTAACCCAACATTATGGACTCCTGCTGGTACTTATAAGTCAACATTATAATAAATAACATGTTATACATGCGTCATTATCGCCATCATGTGTACACATACAAACATGCAATTCAAAACAGTTAGACATAGTATGCACAATACAATAAAAAGGCATCTAATGTCATGCAAGTGTGCTGTGTTAGTGGAAAGAGCTAGTATGACAAAGAAATAAAATTTTAAAATAATAGTCCCCTCGATCAAGGAATGAGACAGCCTTATGGCAAAAAACTTCTGCCGTGGACAAAATTTTGCAAATTTTGTGATTTTGAAAATCCCGATATAAAATCTTCAATAGAATTAATATGGTATAACATACATGGCCTAATGGTAGAAATTGCTATACATAAAATAGATTGGTTCGTAACATTTTTAGATGACAAAATTATCATAAAGTAGATATACTTACATCATACTGTACATGCATAGGAATTATACTTACTACCTTAAGCCTACTATTTTTAGAGTCTACTAAATTTAGCTATATTAGCGAGAGAGCTTAAAACCGCTAAATTAAATAGACGCCAAAATAATTATTATTCATTATAATGGTTATTATTTATAGTTAATTTGGTTAAAAATGCTGAAATTAGTAACGCTAAACATGACTTTTGCTAATTTCGCTAAAATTAGTAGACGCAAATAATAGTAGGCTTAAGGTAACAAAATAGTCACTAAATAAAATCATACCTTGTTGATGCTGTCTCTTGTCTTCTCTCAGTGCAGATATCATAATAGGATCATCATTAATAGTCTCCAAGAAAAGAGAAGCTTTCTCATCATTACTAGATGAATCATTCCTTATCTTCTGTAGAACAGGAAGGGACACTACTTCCACTGACAGTATAAACTCTAACAATTGAAGTGACTCCAGCATTGAGTAAACACAACTACTAGGAATGTATCCCTCATCACCAGACACCAAGGATCTTCCTCTCCACCAATAGCCATTTCTGCTATGTATCTCCAGCTCTTCTCCCTTATCAAATGATAATTCATAGCTCCTTATTGCATGATACTTACAAATAGCTATGTAAACAGATTTTGCTATAACTGATGATCAAAATGATTTCAATTACTCACTGTATACTGTTGTTTTTTGACTCATCAGAAGTTGTACACTAGTTTTTGATATATTTTCTTGTAGTAACTCAATCTTTTTCTTATACTCCACTAATGCCTCCTCTCTTCCTGTGATGAGGTAGTATAGACAGATTATACCAGTAGAGTCAGTACCTGCTTTCATTAGGAGAGAGGTTCGGGAATACTGAGTCTCTGATTTCTTTGATTTGAATATTTCATTAATCAACTTCCCTCTAGTTAGTAGCTTCTCTTTCAGTTTAGATTCTACAGTAATGACACAATAAAAATTTTAATTTATAAGATATTGTACTGATTGTTCAAATGATTATAAACTGCACATACATGGTTTAAGTTAAAACTATACCTGGTGTCTGTAGTGTCCTTTCAATATACTCTATACAAGTAAAAATACATTAATAAAATATCTTAATCATTCACTATACCTTTTCTTTTTTTGATGATATTCTCTTGTTCAAATATTGATCCTATATCATTAGTATAAGTAACATCAGTAATTGAGTAATAGATCAGCTCACACACCTTCTTTGTAATCAAGTAAAGTCCTCAGTTCTTGTTCCTCTCCATCAGCTAGTTTAATCTCCTCTGCAAGACACTCATTATTCATTACCTATAATCAGTACATAATTAAACGATGTCTCAGTATCTTGTACTTTGTATCTGATCCTTTTATCATAGACAGTGTAGTGGCCAATGGTTAGTCTGATTAAACTGTATTCCTTCATCAAGACAGTTAGGTTGTCTTGTGCTTCCAAAAGAAGAGCAGCTAGTAAATGATGTGGAGCATAACAGATGATAATGATGGAGTTCCCACGATGAATGCTTCGTACAATAATCCTTTTTCCCAAATCTTCAAATGCTTTCTCTAATAGACGTCTAATGTCATCAAGTGTATGTTCATCAGGTTCCCATTCCAGTACAAACTCCACTCTCTCACAAGTG